GATGGCGTGATATGGCAGCCTCGCTTCTGTCAGTCTGCCCCAGGGCAGCTGTGGCTACAACTGTAGCTGCCTCCACCAGTGTGTGAATGTGTGTGTGAATGGGTGGATGACTGGATGTGTAAAAGCGCTTTGGGGTCCCTAGGCGGGACTAGTAAAAGCGCTATACAAATACAGGCCATTTACCATTTACCATACCAATCCAATTTGAAAAGAAAAACAGTTACAAGATGAAATCCACTAACTCAGCTTTATTTTTTCTTCCTACAAACATCTCATTTATGTGCTTTACCTCTCCTTCACATTGTTCTTTGTAGTCCATGCCTCACTGCACAGTGTGAGACTGACTGGTTTAAACTGAGGCTGAAGGAGCTGAAGAGCTTGTTTCAGAGAGGATGAACTCAGAGGCTGCACCAAGGCCCAGACTGAGATAAACAAGGATCATTGTGAACTGTGAATCCTGCTAAAGTGTTCAAGAATCAAACACGGAGCTGGAAATGAGTATAACAGCTCACCTTTACTTTATGTATTACATTTCTGTTTACAGAGGTCAGAGGGTGAAGTCCATTAAAGATGACTCTCTCTGAATACTGATTTCTGCTGATATGACTGCATCCACATGAAATGCTCCTCCATCCTACCAACACACAGCTCCACCTGAGTAACATATATGTGACCATACTTATCACATAAACTTTAAATATCTTTAAATAGAAAAATCTTATTATTCACAATGAAATTTCTATTATTAAAATTTTGATTCCTCAGCTTTATAACTGTAACAGCTATCAGAATCACAATGAGAATATTTTATTAATGCCTACGGAAATTATGCAGTTTCAGTTGAGAAGAACAGTAACAGACTGAACAAAATAAAATAATACTATATATTATAAAGTTAGAAAATATAAGAAAAAGCTTTAATTATTAAAATGAAAGCTAGAAATATTATAAAAACTGATTGACATTTTGTTCTAAGCTGCAAAACTTTTTTCCCCAACTTTTCAACTTTTTTTTATTTTAGTAATGATCCCAATATTGATCACAACAAAGAGGGGAAATACCTCCAACATGCACAAACATTTGACCAGACAGCCTGTAATTATTTTATATAAAAGTAATGTCTTTGATATGCTGCTTAGAGATGGTGTGGTGACAATGGGCCAATATGAATTGATAAAGAACTGAATCGATAAGTGATATTAAAAATGGAATCGGAATCGTCTAAATTCTTATTAATTACCATGCCTATGTGACTGTGCAGTATTTGTGTTGTTTACAGACTTTTAACCTGCTCTATTGGCAGAAAAAAAAGTTAGCTTTAAAACTCCACACCCAATAATCTGGGGACCTAAACAGCACAATGTGACAGAGCAAAGACAGCACCTTGTATTCTCTCTTTCTCTCTCTCTCTCTCTCTCTCTCTCTCTCTCTCTCTCTCTCTCTCACACACACACAGAGTATTATTATTATTATTATTATTATTATTATTATTATTATTATTATTATTATTATTATTATTATTATTATTATTATTCTCCTCTATAATAAAGCCTTAACGCAAATTCCTTTTGACGCCTCTAATTCTTAGATGCGTGATTAACAAGATCAAGCGCAAATTCAGTTTTAAAGCTCTGCCAGATGGTTCTCTTGACAAGACCACTGCAGATGTGAACTGAGATACTACTGAGGTACACTGAGCTTAGAATATCACTTGGTGATGTGAAAAACCTTCCTTCCACTCGCCAAAGGGAGGCCATGCTGGACAGACCATTCTACAAGCAACAGGCTTTCAGCCATAGCTTGATCTGATGAAGAGGAGACAAAGAAAACTGTCCAAGCAGTGGTCCAAACGTGAAACAGCACACAGTGAGATGTCTTGCATTTTGCACATCTATCCCATGCAAGAGGTTGTTTTGACTGTCAGGCATGTTGTTCAGAAGTAGTAAGCAGCACTGCCATCTAAAAATATCAAAATGGTTCTCTGTTTGAAAAAACTGGCTTAGAGGAAAAACAAACAAACAAAACAAAAGTAACGAGGAGTATAATCTCAAGTCCAGACACTTTTCTTTCCAAGCTCCTTAGACTACAATGACCTGGATGACTGAGAACCTTCACAGACAATCTCAAGTGTACTTTTGGAAGGTTTGAGCATGTAGTACATTTTACAGAATGTTCTGTAAAAGGTTTGTTTTGTTGTTATGTTTTGGATTGTTCAGAGAGTGTCCTTACAAAATAATCTTGACAAATGACAAACGAGAGCTTATTTTTAATTACTCAATGGGTATTACAAAAGTCAGTGCATATTATCAGCACAAGTGATAAGAGCGTTTCAATCCTTTATAAAAACACGAAATACTCAAACATAACAGAACGGCTGAAAGCCAAAGTCCTCATCCTGCTCTCTGCTCTCTTTACTCTTTTCAGCACCACTTACCATCATTTTTAATTATTTGTGTTAATGACTTCATAAAACACTCACTAAATAGATAACGTGTAGTATCGTTGACATCAGGACACAGAAGGCAAGGTCCATTAAAACTGACTCTCCCTGCATATTGACCTATTCTTATATAACTGCATCCGCTTGATGCAGAAATTTTTGACGAACAGTAGAGATCAATGTCAGGAAGTACAGGTAATATATTTCCCAGCATTCCTCTCTATCCAGGAAAAGCCTCTATGTTAATAAGTGGAGTTAAAATCACAGAGCAAATATTTTTAAGAAGTAAAATTCCATAAAAAGAGTTCTAGCTTTACCATGGCTCCAGTAGCGTGACTGTCTATTGTAATGTAGAAAACAGTCTTTGATAATGATTGCCTGAGATGAAATTTGACTTTCTCTTATTATAAAGTCATTAACAAACCAACAAACAAACACTACCTCTACACTATCTCTGTATTAGTAGAAACAGTGTATATGTGTTTCAAACTGAACATGAAGTTCATTCGGAAACAAATATCCCACAGTCTAAACAGAGACCAAAACAGATGCGTTTACAGGAAGCAGCGCACTGACAAAGACGCACACACGTACGTAAAACATGCAAACGAAATAATAAGTATCGCTATAACGATCAACAAAGAAATAGATTCGTTTCGTTGTTGCAGGTGCTGCACATTAATCTGCTCTAACTCTCGTTATTTCAACACTAAAATGCGGCCGCATTAAAAGCTGATGTCACAGGTGTAGACTCCGCAGTCATCCACCCACTAACGCAGCAGCCTGAAAAGCGTTTAGGCTCCATCCGCTGCTGTGAAACGTGACTGCGCCTGCACACATGATCGGTCTAAATCAATGAGTTTCTTACCGGATTCAGCAGCAAACGTCAGTCCGGACAAAGTCAGGAAACAGAAGCTCAGAAACAGAAGTGCTAGAAGCTCCATGTCTGCAGAAACCCTCTGAGGAT